TGTGTGTGTGTGTGTGTGTGTGTTTGTGTGTTGAATCCAGAGATGTTCTACCATTAAGCTAAACCCAGCCCTTGTTTGTTTAAATTTTTTTCATCTTGAATCAGTGTTTCACTAAGCTGATCAGGCTGGCCTCAATGAACTTGACTGTTGTCTGCATAAGCCTCTTAAGTAGCTGGGATTATAGACGAGTGTGACCACAGCTCGTGTGAGGATTTTTAATGTCTTAGATACCTCTTCCTCTCTAACACCTAAAACAGTGCCAGTCACATAGGGGACCTTAAGTAAATGTTGTTTAAACGAATGTGAAGATTTGTATATGTTATAAACATTCTAATTTTTGTTTTATTTAATTTTGTGTGTGTGTATGTGTGTGTGCAGGGTTTCACCATGCAGCTTGGACTCATAGTGGTCCTCCTGTTTTCAACCTTCCTAGTGCTGGGATTACAGGGATGTGCCACCACGCCTGGACTCTAACTTTTATTTTTATCATTATTATTTTTTATGTATGTAGGACAGGATCTACAGTGTCTCACTACGTAGATAAGACTTGTTGGGGCTGGTGAGATGGCTCAGTGGTCTAAAGCACCTACTTAGAGCAAGCTTGGCAGAGTACAGGGACCGTGGTTCAATCCCCCAGCACCACATGCCAGCCAGCCCTGCCCCCTGGTGGGCTGAGCTGGCCACGCACACACATACATAAATAAATAAAATTAAAAAAAGACTTGTGATCCTCCTGTTTTCAGCCTCCCAAGCATTGGGATTAGAGGCGCACACCACCATGCCCAGTCTCAGATGCCGTCTCTCCCCTGGAGCGAAGCCAGCATGGCATGCCAGGGATTGAACCCCAGCCGCTACGCTCTGCATAAGCAGGCGCTTTAGTTTGCTGAGCTATCTGGCCAGCCCATCTAACTTATAATTTTTTAAAAAATCACAGAACAAAAAGTTGCTCCTTAGAAAAACCAGTAATAACTCATAATTCATAAAGGACCTAAGTATAAATAACAGTAACAAAACGAAAGCACAGTTAGTAAGGAGGGAGATTCCATTATTTATTTATTTTGTCGGCAAAGAAGAAAATGATCATTTTTATTCCTGGTAAGAGTGATAAGCGGCCAGGGAGATGGCTCAGGGCAATAAGTGCTTGCCTGGCACTCCCCAGTTCCACCAAAAAAAAAAAAAAAAAAAAAAAAAAGAGTGATAGCTTGCATAATACCTCTAACTTAGAATGCATTCAATAAACATTTGTGGAATGATGTCTTTTTTTTTTTTTAAGGAAATGGATGTGTACTACCTTGAAAATATAAATGTAAACTGGTATACCTCCTCAAAAATCAGTCTTTATCAAAATCATCAGTCATAATAGTGTTGCCCAACAGCTCCACTGCTGGGAATCTAGCTCTTCTATTTTATAACTAGCTTTGTATATATAGTTTAGATATTTTAGTGACACTTGCAGCAGCATCACTGAGACCTAAATGTGTGTTTGTATTTTATCTGTTAGGACACCGGTGGAGAAAATACTGTGGTCCCTCCAGAAACGTATGTGAAGGTGGCTGGCCATCTGAGATCCTTTCAGGTAAAGTCGGAATAGAATGGCAGCTAAATTGTGTTTGCATGAAGTAGTCTCTGGATTCAAGTCTGGGTCTAGGGTACCTAGTGATAGAACCGCTATGTTTTGTGTTTTTTTTTGTTTTGTTTTGTTTTGTTTTGTTTTTGTTTTTTTTTGCGGAACCAGGGATTGAACTCAAGCCCTTGCACTTGCCAGGGAAGCGCTTATTCTACTGAGCCATCTCCCCGGCCAGAACCACTATGTTTAATGGGAAGTTATTTTCTTTTCCTCTTATTCAACAGGAAGTAACTGGGTTTATTATCTTAATAGAAAAGTAATAGCTGGGCATGGTAACACACACATCTAATCCTTAACTTGGGAGGCTGAAGCAGGAGGATCAACGTGAATTACAGGCCAGCCTGAGCTATATAGTATGTTCAAGGCCAGCCTGAACAACAAAGTGAGGCCCTGTCTCAAAAAAAAGAAGAGGCAACTCATTTGGGACCCCTCCTATCTCTCAGGAGCTATTTCCATTACGCGTTTCTATTCTCAATAAATTTCTCTACTCTTAGCCTCCATTGTAGCAGGCATAGTGGTACATACCTATAATCCCAGCCCTTGAGAGGCTGAGGCAGGAGGATTGCTATGAGTTTGAGGCCAGCCTGTACTATAAAGTGAATTCAAGGTCAGCCTCAACTTCATAGTGAAGCCCTGTCTCAAAAAGACAAAAAAAAAGTAACAGAATGATAGAAAAAGAACAGAGGAGCCGGGGAGATGGCTCAGTAGAATAAGTGCTTCTCTGGCAAGCACAAGGGTCTGAGTTCCAGCCCCGGTTCTGCAAAAAAAAAAAAAAAAAACAGAATGCATCTCTACCTACAATTGATAAATGTGGCATGTGTTAGAGGTAGAAGGAAGAACATTGGATTCAGGAAGATAGGCTGATTGGATTTGTCATTTTGTTTTGTTTTATGTTATTTTGCTTGGTTTTGCAGCCTTGAGCAAATCATGGATAACTGAGCTAGTTTGGTTTGTTCTTCATTGTTGACTATACTTGGATGGCCTTGATTTAAAATTTGTTGGGGTTTTTGTTTTTTTTTTTTTTTTTTAGCTTTTTAATTTTTTTGTATTTAGATAGGGTGTATAGGGTCCCACTGCATAGATCGGACTCAGTGATCCTCCTGTTTATAGCCTCCCAAGTGCTGAGATTACAGGCGCATGCCACAGCACCCAGTCTCAATCACTGTCTCAGCACGCCCCAGGGGCGGGGCCGGCACGGCAGGCCTGGGGATGGAACTCCTGGCCCCTGTGTTTGCCTAAGTAGGTGCTTTAATCCACTGAGCTATTTGGCTGGCCCCTTGATTTAAAATTTTAAATACATATGTAACAGATATTTTCCTCATATTGGCAAAATATTATAACTTAGGAAAGTGGGCGCACACGCCTGTTGTCCCAGCTACTCAGGATGCTGAGGTGTGAGGATCATTTGAGCCCAGGAATCCTGGGCTGCAGGGTGCTCTGCCGATTGGTGTCCACACTACGTTGGGCATCATCAGTATGGTGACTTTCCGAGAGGGTAGGACCACCAGGCTGCCTAAGGAGCGGTGAACCAGCCCAGGTTGGAGTCAGTGCTTTGACTTGAATCTACTCATCTTTTATTTACATTTTCATCTTTACTTTATAGAACAAAAAGAGCCTGGTAGCCTTTAAGATCATGCCGCTGGAGGATATGAATGAGTTCACCACGCATATCCTGGAAGTGGTCAATGCACACATGATGCTGAGCAAACCCATCACCCAGGTGAGCAGCCCCACGCTCGTAAAGCAGAGATACGGCTGTGCTCCGACCTTGAGGTCTTGACGTTTTTAAGGTTGAACTAGAAGAAAGGCATCAGGACATTTTCTCCATCAGCTTTCTTTTTATTCCACATGAAGCATTCATGTTTCTCTCAGAATGATGAATTCCTCTGCAAAGTGCTACATGCCTGCAATCCTAGTACTTGGGAGGCTGAGGCAAGAGAATCCCTAGTTTGAGGCCATCTTGGGCTACTTAGTGAGTTTATGACCAGCTTGAACTACATTGTGAGACCCTGTCTCAAAACACAAAAAGGAAAAAAAAATCATAAGTTCCTCTGACCCTATTACCACAGATGGCTGAGGCATAAGACAGCCTTCAGATAGACACATAGGCTGAGCCTGTAGCTCCACAGTCACCAGCCCATAATCAGAGAAAAATCTCAAATAGGACAGCATTTTGGTGCTTTTCTTCCAAGCAATTGCCTGGTAGAAAAAACTGTACTACTACTTTTCTTGAAATTATATTTCTTGGTCCATACTGAAATTTGTTCCATTTCCTGTTTGAATTCACTTTGGTGAGTCCCCTCTAGGACCAATCAGAGCATTAGTCACTTCTAGCATTGGAAAGTCCTTGCATGGCATGGTGAAGGAGGGTACGGTGGCAGAGGCTGGCGAATGGCTGGGCCAGTAGGAGTGCCAACACATCCCGCTCTGCACATACTTTGGTAGGCACCGAGAATGCAGACATGTTCTTTCAGTTGTGTTGGAAAAATATTCATTGAGGCTGCTGTGAATAGACCATTATTCTAAGCCCTTGGAATACAGCAGTGAACAAGGCAAAGTATCTGCCTTCAAACATGCACTCTTGGGAGAAACAAGCAACAGTCAAGGTGCAGACATGTAGGCTGAGGGGGTGGTGTGTGGCCGTAATCCCAGCTATTTGGGAAGCTGAGACAGGAGGATGGCCAGTTCAAATCCAGCCTGGGCACCTTAGCAACTTAGTTCTAAGACCCTGTCTCAAAATAAAAATGAAGGGCCAGCAAGATTAAGCACTTGCGAGACTGGGCATGGTAGCACATTCCTATAATCCCAGCACTGGGAAGGCTGAAAACAGGAAGATCACTATGAGTCCAAACTGTGTAGTGAGACCCTGTACCAAATACATAAAAATGAATAAGTAAATAAAAATAAGGAATTGGGATCTAGATCAGTGTGAAGGCCCTTACTTCAATTCCTAGTGCTGCCAAAAAAGAAAAAAAACAGGGCCAGGGAGATGGCTCAGTGGAATAAGCGCTTCCCCAGCAAGCACGAGGGTCTGAGTTCAATCCCCGGTTCCGCAAAAAAAAAAAAAAATACTTCCAGTATTGAGGTGCCTGAGAGTGGAGAAGAGAGTAATAGCGGGAACAGAATGGTGTGGCTTCAGGTAGGGGGAGAGCACGGGAGGGGAGGTGTCAGCACCCCCAGACTGGAGCAAGCGTAGCACCTCTCAGAGCACAGGAAGCTGGCCAGAGTGGAGTGAAACACAAGAAGAACAGGAGAAGGATCCAGACCCATGACGTGGAGGGCCTTGTATTTTGATGCTAAGATTTAGAAAGGTTCAGCCAGGGATGACATTGTCCGATTTGCCATGTCCTTTGCTAGCTCACCTGCTGCTGTGGGCACAGTGCACTCTGAGGCACCAAAGAGGGCAACCAGAGTCACTGGGAGGAGTGGTAGCCACAGCTAGGGAAGAAGGGGTTGACCCTGTGTATTCAGTAAGTAGAGCTGGCAGGAGTGATTCAGGGATTAGATATAAAACACAGAAAAGGAGGTTCCTGAAGGACTCCTGGGTTTGAGGCTTGAACAGCTAGATGAAGCTAGCAGAGGACAGTAAAATCCACAACTGTATTTGAAGCATGTATGAAATGCCATTTAGACATCCAGGTGCACAGGTGACAGGCTGGACCTGGGTGGGGGTGGGGCTAGAGATAGCGCTTTGGTGATCACTTTTCTATTGATATTTAAAGCTGTGGACACAGAGAGTTCAGAGCGCAGGGACTTGAGCACTGGGACACAGAACTTTAGAAGTCTGGACTGGCATAGTGTAACCCCAGTACTAGGGAGGCTGAGGCAGGAGGATCATTGCCAATTTGAAAACAGCCTGGACTACAGAGTGAGCCCAAGGCCAGCCTGAAATGCATAGCATAGCCCTGTCTCAAAAAGACCAAAAGAAAAAAAGATCAGACGACTTGCTGCCTAAAAGCAGAGATACGGCTGTGCTCCGACCTTGAGGTCTTGACGTTTTTAAGGTTGAACTAGAAGAAAGGCATCAGGACATTTTCTCCATCAGCTTTCTTTTTATTCCACATGAAGCATTCATGTTTCTCTCAGAATGATGAATTCCTCTGCAAAGTGCTACATGCCTGCAATCCTAGTACTTGGGAGGCTGAGGCAAGAGAATCCCTAGTTTGAGGCCATCTTGGGCTACTTAGTGAGTTTATGACCAGCTTGATGACCAGGAATTGATACTTTGTAAAATACTTTTTGTCTGAGTAGTTTCCTGTGTTGTTTTGAGACAGTCTTACCAGGTAATCCCAGCCTGGCCTTAAACTAAATCTTCCTGCCTCAGACTCTCTGGAATCCCAAGCATGCTTGAGCATATGCCATACCCACCTATCTTTTTTCTGAGATGTAGTACAGGCTGGCCTCAGTTCCTGGGTCAGGTCATCTTTCTGCCTCAGTGTCACTCCATCTGGTATGTGGCACTCCATCTGGTGCCACTCCATCTGGTGCCACTCCATCTGGTATTGTGGCACTCCATCTGGTATTGTGGCACTCCATCTGGTGTTGTGTAATGTTCTGAAAAGAAGATTTTAGGGAGAGGGTAGAGAGCCAGCATGTCAGCACATACCTGCAACCCCAGCATTATGTGAGGGAGTCTGGAGGACAGTCAGGCAAGCAGCGCAGTGGGAGCTGTGAGAGGGAACAGACCAAAGGCTTGTTAGAAAAGAACTAGAGGGCTGGAGAGATGGCTCAGTGGTCCAAAGCACCTACTTGAAACAAGCTTGGCAAAGCACAAGGACCACGGTTCAATCCTCTAGCACCACATGCCAGCCAGCCCCGCCCCCTGGTGGGCTGAGCTGGCCACACACACCCACACACAATAAATAAATGTAATAAATAAAAATAATTAAATATTTAAAAAATTTAAAAAAAAATAAAGTTTACTTCTTTCTGAAGTACAGTTAATGTTATTCTTCTCAAAAAAAAAAAAGAAAAGAAAAGAACTAGAGGAGAATTACTAACTTGCCTTCAGGAATGCCAGGGGAGATTTCATGAGGCAGTGACAGTTAAGTTGGACTTGAAAGGATTTACCAGATGGATGAGAAAAAGACTAGGTGCAGCTAGTGAATGGAGTGTGTGGAGCATGCTCAGGAGTGAAGACCCACCTGGTGTCCTGGCACACGTCTGTAATCCCAGCACTGGGGAGGCTGAGGCAGGAGGAACACCCCAAGTTCAAGGCCATCATGCACTACAAAGTGAGACCTTGTCTCTAAACAGAACAAAAAATTGAGTACACATTTTGACTTTTATTCTTACAGTGTGTGTAGCCCAGGCTGTCTCCAAACTTGCAGTAATTCTGGCTCAGCCTCCTGAGTGCTGGGATTATAGGCATGTGCCGCCGCTACACCCAGCTAAAAGTGTTATTTTCAAACAGTACAGAAGAGGGCCTGTGAGATAGGCCCTCAGAGAAGTCTGGGCATGGTGGTGCACGCCTGCAATCCCAGCTCTAGGGACGCTGAAAGTAGGATCACTGCTCAGAGCTATGTAATGAGACCTGTAACAGATACATTAAAAATAAGAAAAACAGTACCAGAAGGAAACTGCCTTTTTTTTTTTTTTTTTTTCATTTTTTGGACAAGGTCTCCTTGCAGTTCAGGCTGGCCTTGAGCTCACTTTATAGCCCAGGCTGGTCTCGAACTTGGAACGATCCTCCTGTTTGAGCCTCCTGAGTGCTGGGACTATAGGCATACACTACCATGCCTGGTTACCTCTGCACTTTTTATCTTAGAACTCATGGCCGTTTTGCTCATACAGGGCTTTCGCAGGGAGAGGCTTGCCAGTGCAACTGCCAAGCTGAGGTCATCCATGCAGACAGCGGGCTGCTGTGATCTCTCCCAAATCTGACTCTTGGGTAAAGGCAAGAAAATAGCCTCACCTAAATAACCAGCCTCAGCAAAGCGGAACAGGAGCCTAAAGCTGTGGGCCAGCTTGTGCATGAAATCCCTTCAGTGCACAGCTGTCTGTAAGTCTCCCTGTCCCACCTGCACACCAAGGCCTCTGCTCTACCCCTTAGCAGTTAGGTTGCTGTTAGGTTGTCTAGCTATTTTATATTTTCACAAGCAGAGGGAACCACTGAGTCCCCGTAAGCAGTGACGCAGTCCTAGCAGGTTATTCCTTGCGATGGTGGAGGTCGATTGGCACTCAAGGGACCGGGTAAGGGCTGAGGTGCCAGTCGGGAGGCGGAGCATGAGGAGGCTCATCAGGAAATGCTTGAGGGGCTGGTGAGATGGCTCAGTGGTCTAAAGCACCTACTTAGAACAAGCTTTGCAAAGCAAAGGGACCGCGGTTCAATCCCCCAGCACCATATG